GTGAACAAGATGAACTCCCTGAGGTCAAGAAGCTAACATCCTAGTGGGAAAGAAAAAGCATTCTTCAGGATATAAGGTAAAAAGCATGGCATGTTGTAATCTCGGGTAGTAGTAAAAAACTAGTGATCAACATAAAGCAGTGTGAGGGGTAAAGAGCATGGAGAGGAGGTGCTGGACAGGCCAGGGGTGGTCATAGGCTACTTTTCAGGGTTTGATAGACTTTCAAAGTGAACCAATATAAGGATTTGGACAAAAACTTCTAAGAGAGGCTAGATATATGAAGTCCCTGAGGCAGAAATGAGCTTGGTCTATAGGAAGAAGAAAATGATGACAGTGTTCCATCCCAAATCTCTATGTAAGGGGGCACTTTGCCCCATGCTTTTCCCCAAGAGTGCTGGTCTCTGCCTTAAGTCATGTGGACTGACCACAAGAGGTCTTCTGTCCTATACTGAGGGCCTAATGCACTCAGTCAAGTCTTTGACTTCTTTAGCAGATTTACTCCAACTCCATGGGGTAAATGGAAGTAGGTCACCAAGAAGTAAGGCAAGTTTGTCACTAGGAAGTAGGCACTGAGTAGGTTACAACTAAAGGCTAAAGCCATGCTAGTCTTGATCTGAAAGCACAATGAGTTAGAAAAGTGATGACTCAGTTTAAGAACCAAGGCTCCATTATGTACCCCTAGCACTCAGCAGAGAACCACCGACAGTTTCCACTATCTTTGGAATTATGTAGAGGCTCAGGCTCCCCAGCCTTGACCAGTCCTTCAGGAGGTAAAGAGACTACAAGCCTCCAGAGCGACCGCCTTCATTCTGGTCTCCAGTGGCAGGGGTATGTTAGCCAGGTGGAATGGAGACTGGCAGTAGCAGGTATCCTGTCAGCATCTCAGTGCTCAGCCCCGGCTGCCTCTGCTTCAGTGCTCGCTGCCCTGAAGAACTTAGGAACCTCAAGGACTCATCTACTCCAATGCTTCTCTTTTCAAGCCTGCTTAATTACTTCTGCGTTGCTGTGATAAGACACCATGAATAAGGCTACTTGTAGAAGGAAGAGTTTACGGTTGGGCTAATTGTTCCAGAGAGGTAAGAGCCCACCATGGTGGGCAGGCATGGCAGGAGGCAGTTGGAGCAAAAAGCAGAGTGTTCACATATTTAAACTGGCACAGGAAGCAGAGAGAGGCGAACTGGAAGTGGGCAAGCTGCATACTTTTGAAGCCCACCTCCAGTGACATGTTTCCTTCTAAAGAGTTCATGACCTTCCCCAAACAGTGCCACCAAATGGGGACAAAGTGTTCAAATACTTGGAGCCTATGAGGGACATTCATTCAAACCACTGCAAAGCATAACTAATATAAAGCCAAAGAGAGATCAAGTCCACTTCCCAGCCAAATTCCCTTTGTTCATACACATGAAAGTGTGAACCAGGATCAAGAAGGTTAGGGTAATAGCCTTACATGGCCTGAGACACTGAAAGGAGTGTGTCACTGAAGAACAGGAAATGCTTCCAAAGGCCACCCTTGTACAAAGCACTGCAAAAGTAATGTTTAGTTGCCACTGTCTCCAACAGCACCATGGGAGAATGGACAGAGCATCACAAACAATGAAAACCAAGAGCTTAGCCAAGTCTATGGCTATTTGGGACTGAAGCTGTGATGGATTGAATGAAAATGTCCCCCATAGGCTCCAAGTATTTGGACATTTTGTCCCCAGATGGTGGCGCTGTTTGGGAGGTTTTAGAAGGTGTGGCTATCCTGGAGGAAGCGGGTCACTGAGGGTGGGCTTACAGAGTTCTTAAGCCTTGCCAGATCTCCAGTAGCTCTCTTGCTTCCTGTGCCTGTGCGATGATGTGAGAGCTTCACTTCTGCTGCTCCTGCTCCAGCCACCTCCAGCCACCATGGCTCCCTGCCATGACGGACTGTAATTCCCCTGGAACCGTAAGCTCAGATAAACCCTCCTATAAATTGCTTGGGTCAGTGTTTCTATCACAGCAACAGAACAGTGACTAATACAGAAGCCCTTTCCTTGCTTCTATTGTTTTATGAATATTATCATTAATCCTCACAAAAAGTCCTAAGAAGTACTGAGAATAAGCACAGATAAGATAACACCGAAACACAGAGAAGTAGCCTAGCATTCTCCAAGTCACCCCTGACCACAATCCCACTGCTGAAAGGGTGCAGAGGTTGTAATAGAGTCATGTTTTGAATCTAACAGGGACTGCAGAGTGGAAGCTGATGGAGGCCTCCCAAATCAGCTGACAGTAAACATGTGCAAAGGACAGATATTCAGATGACTCTGTAGGTGCTAGACTATTTCAACCCTATATACTGAAATACTGATAAATTGCTACCAATAAGACAATATTTTTAACATCAAATTAAAAACTACGTTGCGCTTTTACATGATAAATTCACCATCCTTGATTTATAGAATTCTCAGTTATCCTGCAGAAACCCCTTAGGGACTCCAGATGATTCAAAGAACATTTCAAAGGACTGTAGGTTGCTCCCCAACCTGCCCAGTGGGGAACCAAGGAATCATGCTATTATTACAGAACCAACTGATCATCTCCAAAGGAGGCCCCTTTGGGATGTGTGGCCACTTCTTACAAAATATAGTCTCCTTAACATTGAAAAATTATAAAGCTCTTTCTTCACTTGAGTGTATTTCCTTTTGCTTTAGACTTTTTCAAATGTATTTCAGAAATTGCCTTGAAAAGGTAGAGAGCAACATACTATTTGTAAGATGTTTCTAGACATGCACTCTCCAACATGACAGTTAATAGCCACAAGTGTCTGTTTAGTACCTCAAATATTGCTAAAGAGATCTAAGACATATTCCAAATGTAAAATGCACACCCAATGTGAAAAAATCCAGTGTAAAACAATAGGAAAGAAAATACTTCATCAACAATTTTGTATGCAAATTATGTATTGAAATTATATTTTAGATATACCTGGTTAAATAAAATATATTATGAAGTTATTATCACCTGTTTCTTTTGTCCTTTTACTAGCGCTACTAGAGAACTTTAAATTACATCCACTGCTCACACTGGTCTCATGTTCTCGAGGATTCCCCCACACCCATTCTGAAGGGAAGGCCCTGGCTTTTCTTTTACTGTATGTGCTGCAGAACTTAAGGACATTGACTCTACAGGCTAATCATTCTATCCTGCAGTTTGCTATTTAACTTTGGAAAGTTTCTTAGTTTTTCTTACCCCAGCTTCTTCATCTGTAAAACAATAAAATAATAATAGTAATAATAAAAGGATCACAAGGACTGAATGAGATATGTGAAGGGTTTAGAATTATGCCTAGTGCATAAGTACTCAGAAAATATCTCTAATTATTTTATTACTGCAATTGTTTTATCGCCATTGCTGTTAGCTCTTAAATCCTGAGAGGTACTGAGTTGGTGTTTAATGAGCATATTCCACCTTTTCAAGATCCCCTGTGTAAATGTGAAAAACACTTTAAACATAAAATGTTTTAAAAGTCAGTCTTCAATGGCAATTGCATAAAAAAGGACATGAAAATCCTTTCAAACAGAGATTGTACTGACTTCCTGTGACACAGGGTGTAATGGACCAAGGTCATCCACTAGAATTAATTAACCTGTGAAAAGTCACTAAATCAACTTAGCAAACAAATCAAGTCACATAAGGATCAACAGTTTTGACTAAGATAAAAATTTAACTCAAGATCTTAATCACTAACCTTTCTTGATTTTTTTCCAGCCTAATAGATGTACACTTGTAGGGGGAAGAGCTAAGTTGCTAGAAATAAAGCTCTGTGGTAGGGTTCGTGACTCTCATACCTGATGCCCTAGGAACATTCTCTAGAGCTGTGAAACGATGGAAGAATGGAAAGAAGGGGGAGAAAGAAGGAAAGGAAGGAAGAAAAGGAGAGATAGAAGGAGGGGGGCTAAGTTTCAGGATATAGCTCAGTGGTAGATCATTCACAAGGTAATGGGTTCAAAATCCAAACAGAGAGAGAGAGAGAGAGAGAGAGAGGGAGGGAGAGAGAGAGAGAGAGAGAAGAGAGAGAGAGAGAGAGAGAGAGAGAGACTTACATAATTTTTAAAGTGAGGGTACATTAAACCAGATATACAAGCAAGTTCAGTCCTCAGCCCATCAAAGATATACTGCTACTACCAACAAGACCTGAGGAATCACCTCTATTCCTCTACTTTTTACTTACTTTTTATGATTAAGGCTTTCCTGTGGCATTTACATTTATTAAATTATATATAAGCTGTACATATATAGCACATGAAACAGGATGCTTTGAAATACATATAGAAGGCTAAATATAGATGATAACGATTATTTCATAAAGTTTATCATCTTTGTAGTGACATTAAAAACTTCATTCTTAGCACTCTGGAGAGGTGGAAGGAGGAAGATCCCTAGTTCAAAACTAGCCTTGGCTACATAGCAAGTTCAAGGTCAGCTCAGGCTACGTAAGACCCTGTTCAACAACACCCCTACCCCCAAAACCAATATATTGTTAACCTTAGTCAGTATGATATAAAATAGACCTTTTAAATTTTCCCTCCTATCTAAACTTTATTTTATATCCTTTGACCAACATCTCCCCCAAGTCCCTCCCACCAGTGGTTACTCAGGCTTCTCTTGGAATGTAGACAAGGGGTAACATCAGCTTGAAGATATTCTTGTAGCACTCCTTGCTCAGACATTTCAAATATTCCTGATACTCTCTTTCTACAGAAAACATTGCATAAACACATCGACTTCAGAAAATTATGCATACATGACTACAATTTGAACCTTTAAAACAATGTAATTAAGAATCATCAAATGTTCAAAAATGGTGAATTACAAGTATTTTTCAAAAAAGCCATTCTATAAATACTGCTCTAAGAAATTGGTTAGAAGGGCATTTCTAGTAACATCCCTGAACAACTAAAAATGAGGTATTTGCACCAACTCCCCAATATGTCCACTTCAGAGATGTTGAAGCCCAGCTCTACAGAGTACACTACCTTGTTATCCTCTAAGTTGATCACTTCCAGGAGGTCATGATTCTCCAAGCCCTGGAGGCTACTTATCTGATTGTGGGACAGGTCCAGGTTCTGCAAGGCTTTCAGTTCCTCCAAACCTGTGATTTTCTCGATCTGATTATTGCTCTAAAATGGATAAAACACACTTAATGTTTTAAAGCAATGTGTAGGAAAACACAGTAACAAATCTTGATTTTGGTCACTGCCCCAAATCTCTTTTAAAAAGTCAATAAGCCATTCTTGCCCCACCATCATGTCCATCAATTGCCTATCTAAAGGTATATACATACCCAGAAAGATATTCTAGATTTTCATTTGAAAGATCGGGCTATTATATTTTTATTTAGTGTTTTAATATTTTAATTTTCAAGATGAGTTTTCAAGTCGGTAGGGAAAGAGAAATGCAAGGTGATACAAGTTTAACATCGCACACTGTGATGGCAAGTTCCAACTGTCAACTTGACACAATCAAGAGTCACCTAAGAGGGGAGTTTCAGTGACGAGTTATCTGGATTGGGCATGTCTGGGTCGGGGGAGGGCTATTTTGATTATATCCATTGAAACATGAAGACCCAGCCAGTGTGAGCACCAAGCTTCCCTGGGCAGAGGGGAGAAAGTGAACTGCGCATGAGCATGCACCCATGAACTCATTGCTCTCAGCTTCCCATAGTGAATGTGATGTGGCCGCTTCCCTCAGGCCCCTGCTGCTATGAATTCCCTGTCATGACCTGGAAATGTGAGTGTAATCCACGTCCTACTTAAGTTGCTTTGTCAGAGCAGTTTATCACAGCAACAGGAAAAGAAACTAAGACACATACCTAAAAACCTAAATAGCAGGACAGATTTGTGTCTGTCTCTAAAAATGTGATTTTAATACATTGTTTTGTCACCATCACAATAAACCACTTGAATACGCTAGTTCCCATACACACAGTTTCCAGAAACATTCTCAGGTTACATGCCTCACAAAGGCTGTGACTGTTGCCTTGGTAGACTCCAGCCATTCACGCTCCTGTTGTAGTCCCTTCCTCTTAAATCTATGCTAGCCTAATAAAAACGTCCCTTTACCAAAAGACTATGGCTGAAGTGTGCCACTCTAAGCAAAAGACTTAAGGCTTCTGCTTTCAGGTCCAGGAGCTCTAGATACCAGATAAGAATCCTGGTTACTCTGTTGTTGAGCAGCTGTAGAGAAGCCATCTGGATAAGCAGAAATTACATGAAAGAGCCCCTGAGACTAACAGAAAATCCAGTTATCCCAGGCTCCCAGATGTGTCAAGCCCACCCCAACCAATATACTGACAGACTGCAGCAAGCCCAGTAGAAGAACCATCCATCCTAACCCAGCTTATGCAGCAGAACCGTTACTAACACAATGGTTATTTCCCCATGTCATTACAACTGTGTGGCTTTCTATCCAACGACAGATAAGCAAACTTAATTCAATAATTCACACATAAGCATTTTCTCAGACAATAAGAATAGCAGAACGTTTCTGCATTGAAAGAGTTGTCCTCTGTCTCAGCCTCTATATATCCATGACAACAATAATTTTCATTTTTGAATGCTTTCCAACACACTCTTCATGCCTTGGTTTCCTTAGCATCAAGGAATAGGAAAGTGTTGTAGTAAAACTTACCCTTCAGTTTGAGTTGAAAATTGCAATAAAGAATGATTTTGAACTTTCAGTTAATGTTAAGCTATATCTGCCCCTAAAAATGTTCAAAACAGGGCTGGGGAGATAGCTCAGCAGTTAAGGGTACTGGCTACTCTTCCAGAGGACCCAGGCTCAATTCCCAGCACCTACATGGCAGCTAACAACTATCTATAACTCCAGTTCCAGGGGATCCGACATGCTTTTCTATCCTCCGTGGGCACTGCATGACCCTGGTGGACTTACATACATGCAGGCATAATACTCATACACATAAATAAAATTAAAAATTACTTTTAAAATGTTCAAAACTTTTAATATCCATTTATGAACTGAAAAATCAAATTATAGTATTTCCTTCCACCCATAATATTTTCACTGTCGCATCTTTCCTGATACATTTAATAGCAAGGGCTCATTTTTGTCCTATTTTTCATAAAATTTCACTTCAATAATGAGCCAGATTTTTGTTCAGTAGTATAATTCTATAGCGCCTTAAAACATGATAGTAGAATGTTAATAATCTATAGAGGAAAGTTATAGAACATGAGGACTTATTATACTATTCTTTTTTACTTCTGTATGTTTGAAAAATTTGTAATAAAAAGAAAAAACTCATAACCCTATTTGCCAAAGTGATATCAAATTCCCCTATTCAGAGCTCAAAAAAGTTATAAAAAGTGAAAAAATAATACAAAAGAGAACTACACTAAACTTACCATCATACCCATATCAATTTAATATACTGAAATAAGATCTCAATATCCTATTCAAAAAAATACCCACGTATCAAATTTATATACAATCCACTTTCCCCAAAGGACTCTGAAGAGCTCTCAATATGCTAGACAGGCGGTAATTTTTCAGTGTCTCTGATGGCTTTCAAAGTGGTAGATGGACTGAGAAGAACGAGGTACAGAAAAGTTTAATTAGATAGCCTGTGGTCACAAAAGAAACCAGAACTGAGAAGGTTTAGAATCACAAAATTTCTGAGCTGAAAGCCAGCTAGGTAATGCCTTGTCTAGTACTAAGAACCTGGAGGCTCATCCTGGATGTGGACATCAAGTTTCTGCCTCTAGTTCATCCAGTTCTTTCATGAGGATTTGAAAAAAAAAAAGCTTAGAAAGTAGCTATTTTCTTAAGTAGATGAAATTAGAAACATTCCTCATTCGCCATTTGTCAGGGAAAACCCAACTGGCTTTTACCCTGACAAGGAGAAGTCAAGGTTTGCAATGCATTGCTACCTGCTAAGAGGGTGGGGGACGGAATGGCCCATCAGCAAGCCTACCTGTTCCCCCTTTCAACTTTCACATTCCTCCTAAAAGTTGAGGGTCAAATATTAGCAGTTGGTTTGTTCTTCTTACTCTAAATTATAAAATGAGTTCTCGTCAGTAGCTAAATCAAATGGATTTCTGATTCCATGAATTCAAAATAAAATTATTTAAAACTGTTGAAGCAAATATGCATCATTTTAGGTTATAAATTTTATTCAAATCTGGAAAAGAAAGCTTTCTAAGTCTCAAAATTTCCTTGAAAACGAATGCATATTTTCTAGTTCATCTTGGGTGATAGGGTAGGGCAAAAACCTACCTCATTGATTAGCAGAAAAAAAATAAGTACTTTGTGCTTTTCTGAGAGCTACTTGAGACCGAACTGTTAGCATAGATTAATTGTATAGTCAATGAAACATACTCAAAATAAAAGTAACATGTATTATTCTTTTTTTTTCAATTACTTTATTTTTATTTTACATGTATGAGTGTTTTGCTTGCATGTATGTAGGTGCATCATGTGCACATAATGCCTGCAGAGACCAGAAGACGGGACTGGATTCCCTGGAACTGGAGTTATGGACCACCATGTGCATGCTGGGAACTGGACCTGGGTCCTCTGCAAGAGCAGCCAGTGTTCTTAACCACTGAGCCATCTCTCCAGCCCCATGTGTTAATCTTAATAATAACAATTTTCATTCCCTTAATTAGGCACACCCCATGTATTTCCACTTATAACCCATTTAAAATTTATGGGAATATCAACACAGACAATATATATAGCCTGGAGTAGTGGCTCATATCTGTGATCCCAGCACTCAGGTGGCAGAGGCAAGTGGATCACCACAAGTTCAAAACCAACCTGGTCTACACAGCAAGTTCCAAGGCAGGTTAGTGTGGCACAGTGAGATCCTGCCTCCAAAGAGACCAAAACAGCAACAGCGATCCATGTAGAAGAAAAGATAAAGTTCTAAACAGACTATAAAATGAATAGCAAATGGCTGCCAATAGCTCGTTGGATTATCATAATTTTTAAATGTCATTGACTTTCTAACTTAATTTTTTTTTTTTGTCTTTTTGAGGCAGGGTCTCCCTGTAGCCCCAGCTGTCCTGGAACCCACCATGCAGACCAGGCTGGCCTTGAACTCACAAACATCCACCTACCTCTGCCTCCCAAGTGCTGGGATTAAAGATGTGTGCCACCACGCCTGGCTTTTAACTTAATTTTTTAAATCCAATTTATTAAATTCCCCTTCATTCTCACTTTACTAATATGCCTTAGCTGGCAGAAAACAAAATCTCCGGTGAATTTATGAAAACTTTCTATTTGTTTTCCGTGTTTGTTACTAGAATGCCAACACTGTGCCCTCATCTAACTCACAGTAAGAAGGGGTTTTAGAAAGTATTTTGAGCTCTAAGCCAACCTTCAGTGACCTATGGATAAATAATGAAACGCATATCATGTATGTCAAATATGTGCAGACAGCCCAAGATGTCACTTCAGGCAATAGCCCAACACCCTCCTGTGGTAGTTCACATAAAAATTATCAAGACAGCCTCACTGATAGCCATCCTGCCTGCTCTCTGATGAGTGTAACGAAGGCCAATAAAGCCATCTAAGGGTCAGGAGGAGAAAAGGAAGAAGAAAAAATCCTGGATGTTCTATAAACAACATCACCACCTCATACACAGACACACACACACACACTAGCATGCCATACTGTTATTTTTAAAATATCATGCAGTCTCAGTTTTCATTTGAGTTGCAGTCACATGATGTCTCAGGGCTTGAAAATAATGCTCTCTGTGGGAAAAGACAATCAGATGTGAGTTTTCTGACTGGAATGGTTCATGTATTCTCAGCAGGATTCCTGCCTTCCTAGAATGGGAGACTAGCATGTGTTCCCATGTTCCATAGAAGGACTGCCAAAGTTCAGTGCCTAGGAAACATCTTGTGACTCATTTGAGTGCAATGAAGTGTGAGCATCAGCACAGAGGCTTTACTATGCTCAAATGCTATTTTCCCCAATAAATTATACACTTTAAAAACACTTGTTAAAATACACCTTCTTTTACAATATAAGAAATCAATTTTCTAAAAAATATTAACTTGGTATACAAATTCAGAAGTGGTTTTACTTTAGTATGGACTCTTGCTCACATGCATACACACACACACACACACACACACACACCACCACCACCCCACCACCACCACCACCACCACCACCACTACCACCAACACACTGAAAATAACAAAGAAAAAATCCTAAGTATAATTCACAATTGCCAAACATTAACCACTACTTCTACAAAGAATAGCATTGTGTTGGACTCACCAAACAAAGTGTTTTGATCGGTAATGTGCTTAAACCATCAATTGTTCTGATCTTGTTGTTGGCCAAACTCAGGTGAGTCAGACTCAGGCAGTTCTCGAGGCCACTAATTTCTTCGATCTCATTGTCTATATACGATGACTATGTTTAAGGAAAATGTTCTTGAAAGTATCTGAAGGGTAAAAAACCAGTCATTGCTGAGCCTGTGAAATGGCTGAGCAGGGCTGAAGGTACTTGCTGCCAAGCGTGAGCTAGATCCCTAGGACCCCATGGTAGAAAGAACCAACTCCTAAAAGGTGTCCTCAGATCCATATACACACACACACACACACACACACACACACACACACACACACAAATAAATCAAAATATAAAATAATTGTTAAATTATCACTGGAAAAATCAGACAAGAGCTTAAATAAATACATGCCCAGTATAGGAAGAACCCTAAATCCTGAGGTATTTTCCATATAGCATAAATTCTATAAATGTTTAAAGGCATAGCTTCTCACATGCTTAGTAGCATTTGTATTCGTATTTTGTATTTGTATGTGACTCATTAATTGCTATGAAAAGAAACACAGCAGCCGAATTAGTTAATGATCTCCATAAGAATGCACGTGGCTCCCCTCAGGTGGACAATTGAACAGTCTCCCTGCAGAGACAACGTGAACGGACCTTTATCATCTTCCTAACCAGAGGAACAGCATGGAAATGTCCTCCACAGCAAATGGATCATCAGAGGATCAATTCTTTGTTATGAGGGACAGCCCTTTCTTTCCATCTGCCCTGGCTTCTCTTCTCCTTTTAAATACAGGAGGCTTAAACCATGCTTTAACATCTCCATCTGCTATTTCTGTGCTCATTGATAAAAATTTAAGTTTATCGTGTGTCTGATCTTTACAAAGTCAGTAATTCCACTTAGCTTTCTCTGTCCTCAGTCTCTTTGTGCAGTTTCCAGGAACAAATGTCACCATCCAACAAAGTCCAGTTTTCCCTCCAAGTTGCCTACAACATCACCATTTCAGTCATAATCTTCAGGGCATCTAATTAATCACCAAGATCTGGCATCTTTGCCAATTTAACTCACCCTGGGCATCAATGGCTAGCATCAATGAGTACCTCTCGGAACTCTCTTTACATACTATAGTCAGGTTAACATTTCAAAATGTTGATTTGCTATCCCATTCAATTAAAAAATTCTCATAGGAAAAATTCCAAATTCCAACTCTAGCACGTAAGTCCCTTTACTGCTGGCAAAACCTTCTCATTTAATTCCATTTCTATTATAACCCATGTGAATTCTCCATCTCCGCCAGGCCAATCTTCTTGCTCACTCTAGATTACACTAAGAATGTTTCCTCACTTTGTCAATGTACTTTTTAAATACTGTTTTCCTATTCCTTTCTAAATTTACCCATTCTTCAGGACTTTGAATTCTGTTGTTGTCGTTGTTGTTGTTGTTGTTGTCTGTCGGTCTGTCCAATTATCTGAGACAGGATCTCACTACGTAGCCCTGCTCAGGTTCCTGAGTGCTGGGAGTACATGTGTACACCCCCACACCAAGCTCCATATTTCCTTCTTTTCCTTTTTTCTTAAACATTAACATAATTGTAACACAAATATTTCTTTTTATGACACGATGCTAATTTCTTTTCTATTAATTTTTAATCACACAAATAACTACACATGACAGGCTAAGAGTCCGTATTCACAATACATGTTACCAGTCAAAAGAACTACCTAGGATATGTATAAAATGATATTAGAACAAAAAATATAAGTGAACTCAATGAAAAATGGAATGGACAAAGAATACGGCCAGGCAACTTCCAGAAGAGGAAAGCCAAGTGGGAAAGATGTTACACTTCACCTGTAACCAGAAGAATGCAAATCAGATGATGCTGTTCTTCCTCCATCAGCTTAGGCAGCATTCCACAGTATAAGGTTTTAAGGAACAGACATTTTTATATAAGGGGATGAGAAGGTTTATCATGATACAGTCGCTTAGGAGGCTCCCCATTCTAATATAACTGTCAGTATGTCACAGGAGTTCCACTTCTTGGCACCCTGTCTAGACAAAACATATCTTTCTCAAAGCCTTTTCTGGGAACACTTCTAACTCTATTAATCAGAGAGAACTAGAAAAATGTTTAAAGACTCAACTAAGGATCACAAATAGCACAAAACATGTAGTTAGCTTCCTAGTTGCTTGAAATTATCCCAACTCAGTAGCACCTGTGACCAACACAAAGCGCCAGATTCTGGCCTCCCTCTGGCATAGAGGCTGAGAATACTGGGGGACTGTGGTGGTGAGTTTCCCCTAATTGTGCCATACCCATCCCCCTACCTGGGATTTCATGAGTTCCCTCCCAAGGCCCCAGGGCAGACCTAGCTTTGGTAGGCTAAGGCTGAGATCCTAGCAGACAGCCTGAGAGGGTGGATACCAACCTCCACCTCCATCAGTGTAGTAGCTGTGATCTCAGCAGACCACCAGAGAGTGCTGGGTTCTGGCCTGCCTCTGACATAGGGGCTGAGAACAGAGCAGAACAACTGAGAGTCTCCAAATCGTCCCCCCACCAGGGAATTTCAAAAATTTTCTCTGAGTTCCTGCTAACAGAGGTCCAAACCTTAGAAGGAAGACTGAATGTACCTGACTGGAACCTGATTTGGGCTTCTGTGGTTCTCCTGAATAGCTAATTTGAAGCCATAAGTTCCTTCCAAAAAAAAACCTGAGAGAATCTGAAACCTGTACCAATACAGAGAGCAGAGGGAGAAACAACTATACCTCAGGGGCAACAAAAGAAAATAAATAAAGGTACAATTGAGGAAACACAAAATTAGAAAACACAAATAGCAATCAAAATGACAGTAACCAATACACTTCTTTCAATAATAACCTTAAATGTCAATGGACTGAACTCCCCAGTCAAAAGACACAGGCTAGGTGAATGGATTAAGAAACAAAATCCATCTCTGCCATCTGCAAGAAACCCATCTCACCTTCAAGGACAGGCACTACCTTAGGGCAAAAGGATGGAAAAGAATATTCCAAGCAAATGGCACTAAGAAACAAGCAGGGGTTGCAATTCTAATATCTGACAAAATAGACTTCAAATTAAAACTAATCAGAAGAGATAAGGAGGGTCACTTCATTCTGATCAAAGGAACAGTCAACCAAGAAGATATTACAATCCTTAACATATATGCATCAAACTCTGGTGCACCAAAATTCATAAAAACAACACTAGAGGACTTTTAGAAACAGATTAGCACAAACTTAGTAATAGTAGGGGACTTGAGTACCCCACTGGAGATTAGGCAGGTCAACTGGACAAAGAATAAACAGAGAGACATCTGAATTAATGATACCATATATCAAATGGACCTAACAAACATCTTTCGAATATTCCACCCAAGGACCAAAAAAATACACTTTCTATTCAGCACCCCATGGAACTTTTTCAAAAACAGACCACATACTGGACCACAAAACAACCTCAACGAGTGCAAAAAAAAGAAAAGAAAGAAAGAAAGAATTCCATGCATTCTATCAGACTGCAATGCAATAAAGCTCAAAATCAACACTGGAAAAAGTCCTAGTCACTACACTAACTCATGGTGATTAAACAACACACTCCTAAACAACGAGTGGGTCAAAGGAGAAATTAAGAAAGAAATAAAAGAATTACTGAAATTCAATGAAAAGGACACTACAACACAACACAACCTCTGGGACACTTTAAAAGCAGTCATAAGAGGGAAGTTTATAGCTATAAGTGCCTACATTAAAAATTAGAAAGAGCCCAAGTAAATGGCCTAACATTGCAACTCAAGACCTCAAAAGGCAAGAACAAATGAAACCCAAACCCAGCAGAAGAGAAGAAATAACAAAAATCAGAGCAGAAATTAATGAAATAGAAACAAAGAAAACAATACAAAGAATCAATGAATCTAAGAGCTGGTTCTTTGAAAAGCTAAACAAGATAGACGGACCCTTAGCCCAGTTAACCAAAAGAAAAAGAAAATCCAAATCAACAAAATCAGAGATAAAAGGGAAAACCTCACAACAGACACCCAAAAGATCCAGAACATTATAAGGGAATATTTAAAAAACCTATACTTTACCAAATCTGAAAATCTAAAAGAAATGGATGGATATCTAAAATCACGGGAACCACCAAAGTTAAAGAAGAGATCAACAGCTTAAACAGACCCATAACATATGAGAAAAACGAAACAGTAATACAAAGCAACCCAACTCAGATCGATTTATAGCATAATTCTACCAGACATTTAAAGAAGCCCTCCAACCAATACTACTTAAATTATTCAAAATGATAGAAAGAGAAGGAGAATCCCCCAATTCCTTCTATGAAGCCAGCATCACCGTAATACCCAAACCAGGTAAAGATACAAGCACAAAAGAAAACTATAGATTCATATCTTTAATGAACATAGATGCAACAATTTTCAACAAAATACTTGCAAACTGCATACAGATACATATTAAAAATATCATTCACCATGAGCAAGTCAGCTTTATTCCAGAAATGCAGTGATGGTTCAATATATGCAAGTCAATAAACTCATTAATCATATAAATGGACTCAAAGACAAAAACCACATTGTCATCTCAATAGATGCAGAAAAGGCTTTTGACAAAATTCAGCATGGATTTATGTTCAAAGTCCTAGAGGGAATTGGACTGGAGGGAACATACCTCAACATAATTAAAGCCATATATAACAAACCCACAGCCAACACCATTCTAAATGGAGAAAAACTGGAAGCATTCCCATTGAAATCAGGAACCAGACAAGGCTGTCCACTATCTCCACTTCTCTTTAACATAGTGCTTGAAACTCTGCTAGAGCAATAAGACAGGAAAAGGAAATTAAAGGGGTATTAATTGGAAAAGAAGAGGTCAAACTATCCCTTTTTGCTGATGATATACTATACCTAAGAGATCCCAAAAGTTCCACCAGAAAAACACCTAGAATAGATCAACACTTTCAGTATAGTGGCAGGTTATAAAATCAATCTACAAAAATCAGTAGCCTTTCTATATACCAATAACAAGCAATTGGAGAAAGAATAGAGGGGAATGCACAATTTCTGCAAAAAA